TAATTATCATTTTATTAGGTTGTCTAGATAAAGTTAAGTTATGATAATTGCGGTACTTAACGGCAATTCTAAACTCAATCCCTGTGGAGACGATACTCACTCACCCTATACTCAAAACTTGACACCGTACGCTTGCGGAATTTATTATACAAAAATATTAAGCATCAGAGGTATAAAGAGAAAATTAACCAGTGAAAAGTCGGCTGTGTTATGGCACAAGAGATTATGTCATATCTCCAGACGGAGAATAGAGAGACTTGTGTGAGATGAAATTCTAGACCCTTTTTTTTACATATTTTGATGTTTGTGTTAACTGTATAAAGGGAAAACAAACCAATAAAAGGATATTTGAAGCTAATAGGACTTTAGACGTCTTAGAACTTATACATACGGACGTTTGTGGTCCATTCCCTACAGTTGCTTGGAATGGTCAACAATATTTTATAACGTTCATAGACGATTTTTCTAGACATTGCTACATATATCTCATTTATGAAAAGTCACAGTCACTGGATGTGTTCAAAAATTATAAGGCTGAAGTTGAGAACCAACTTAGTAAATGAATCAAAAGCGTCATATCTGACCATGGTGGTGAGTACTATGGTAGATATGACGATTCAGGTGAACAACGTCCAAAACCGTTTGCTAAGTTCCTAGAGGAATGTGGTATCGTCCCACAGTACACTATGCCAGGTTCGCCCACTATGAATGGTGTTGTTGAAAGACGAAACATAACACTTAAGGATATGGTGAGGAGTATGATTTATCATTCTACCTTACCAGAATCACTATGGAGAGAGCGCTTAAGACTGCAGCATATATCCTTAACAGGGTTCTAACTAAAGCGACTGCCAAAACCCCTTATGAACTTTGGACGGGCAAGAAGTCTAGTTTAAAGCACTTGCTTGTTTAGGGATGTCCAACTGAGGTACGGCCTTCTAGGCCTAATGGAAAGAAACCTGACTCAAGGATGGTGAGTTGTTATTTTATTGGATACTCTGAAAGATCCATAGGGTATAAGTTTTATGATCCCACAACTAAGTCGATTTTCGAGTTGGAAAATGTCCGGTTCTTTAAGGATGTCGAGTTTGCGGGGGGAGATACAGTTAGGGACTTTGTCTTCGAAGAGAATATGTTGATATTCCCACAGGTGCTATTGGCATTGATCAGGTCTCATTCCTGACCTTGTTCAAGGCACAACATATCAAGACAATGTCAGATAACCTCTCATACAAAAAATTGTTCTAGAAGAACAAACTCTGTCACCTCAAGAACCTGTGCCATTAAGGAGGTCCACTAGAGAAAGGAGAAGTGCGGTGCCAGATGACTACATTGTATTTCTCCAAGAACATGAGGTAGACATTAGAGTGATGGAAGATGATCCAATCAACTTCCGTCAAGCCATGGAAAACTCTAACTCTCATAAGTAGATTGATGCCATGAATGAGGAGATTAAGTCCATGAAGGACAATGACGTGTGAGATCTTATCCTATTGCCAGAAGATGCGAAACCCATTGGTTGTAAATGGATATTTAAGACCAAGAGGGATTCGAAACGCGATGTGGAGAGGTACAAGGCACGTCTTGTCGCAAAGGGCTTTGCACAGAAAGAAGGCATCGACTATAATGAGACTTTCTCTCCGGTTTCTTCGAAAGACTCTTTCAGGATTATAATGGCATTGGTGGCGCATTTCAATCTTAAGTTACATCAGATGGATGTAAAGACAGCGTTTCTCAATGGAAACATTATGAGACAATCTAGATGGTGTAACCAGAAAGCTTTGTGTTGGGAGACCCAAAGAATATGGTTTACACACTTAAGAAATCCATCTATAGGCTCAAACAAGCATCTTGACAATGGTATTTCAAATTTCATCAAGTGATCATCTCGTTCGGTTTTGAGATGAATTTGGTCAATGATTGTATATATCATAAGTTCTGTGGGAGCAAGTATATTTTTCTGGTTTTATATGTTGATGAAATTTTGCTTGCCAGCAACGATATAGACTTATTGTATGAAACCAAGAGATTTCTAGCTAAGAATTTTGAGATGAAAGATCTTGGTGATGCCTCTTTTATATTAGGCACACAGATATACCGAGATCGCTCTCGGGGTATTCTTGGATTATCACAAAATAGCTATATCGAAAAGGTTCTCAAGAGATATGGTATGCAGGATTACAAACCAGGTAATACCCCTGTGGTTAGGGGATACAAGTTTAGTCTCAATCAGTGCGCTAAGAATGATTTTGAGGAAAAGAAAATGCAGAAGATTCCTTATGCGTCAGCAGTATGAAGTTTACTGTATGCTCAAGTTTGTACGCGTCCGGATATTGCATACGTTACTGGGATGTTGGGCAAGTATTTAAGTAATCCAAGAGTAGACCAATGGAAAGCAGCCAAATGGGTATTGCGGTACTTGCGGAGAATAAAAGACTACATGTTCACATATCAGAGGTCGGATAAGCTTGAGATCGTTGGGTATACTGACTCTGATTTTGTTGGATGCCTAGATAGTATGAAATCTACGTCGGGCTATATCTACCTGCTAGCTGGAGGTGTTGTCTCCTATAAGAGTGCTAAACAGTCTCTTATAGCCTCTTCTACCATGGCGGCAGAGTTCATAGCATGTTATGAGGCGTTAAATCACGGAATATGACTGCGGATTTTTGTCACAGGGCTGCGCATAGTTGACGGCATTGAAAGGCCACTCAAGTTATTTTGTGATAATAAGTCAGCAGTGTTGTATTCCAACAATAACAGGAGCTCGACGAAGTCGAAGCATATAGACATCAAGTTCCTAGTTGTCAAGGAAAGAGTTCAGAGTGGACAGTTGTCTATAGAGCACATCGGTACAAACTCCATAGTTGTAGATCCGCTTACTATGGGATTGCCACCCAAAGTGTTTCATGAGCACACTGCTCGTATAAGTGTCATGTCATTAGAGAATATTCAGTTTTAGTGAGAGTTTGTAATTTTAGATGCTTTTATGATATAGACATATTTTCAGTTATTTCAGTTTATGGATATTTTGAGGTTATTTTCTGCATAAATAAAGTTTTGGTTTATTCACACTCAGATTTTAGTATGGTTTGATCTCACTAAGGTTTAAGGTAGACCAGTTAGAAATCACAACTATGCCACATGCCACGGGAAGAAATGAACAAAACGACAACTTTTTTTTCTTTTCTTTTCTTTTTTTTTTTTTTTTTTTCCTTTTGTAGCATTGTATATGACACTTTTAGAGAATCAAATGAATTATCAACTATCTGACTGATAAGCCTCTACGTAGACAAGTCTATGTGAGGAAGGGTCGGGTAAGCGATTTGTTACAGATACATTTCGATAATGACAGCAAAGTTGAGCTCATACGGTTATTTTTACAAAACATAATTATAAGGTTACACATATAGTCCAAGTGGGAGATTGTTGGATCATTAATCCAGCGTTGGTCTTATATGTGAATAATTATGTGTTACGGGCTGTCATATAAGGTTAAGCCCAATTTAAAGTGATCTACTAAGATTTGAGTATTTTAGACTCTAATGTATCTAATAGGGTGTGGGCTTTTAATGTGTAGAGATTTAAAGGTAATTTCTATTTTTATGATGGACTAAAATAGAAATATCAAAAAATAATAGGAAAGTTATCTATATATAGCGGTTATGGTCCTCAGATCGCACGTTATATTCTATTCCTTTTGACATCCGATCATCAGAAAGAGTACAGAGAGAAAGTTAAAGGGTTCTCTAGGAAAACTTGTTGATCTGGAAGACAAACTGCACGACTCTAGAGAAAAATCAGTTAATATGAATTCAAGTACGCTTTCGCCTATAAATTTATTAATTCTTAATGATCTGACATGAATATTTTTTACTTTTAAGTGATGATTTTGACCAAATCATTAATCTCTAATAGAAGTACACACAAATAACTCAAGCAAAACCAATAACGAAGGACAATGAATTTTTCAGTAGCAAAGGACTGATCACACATTTAATAAGAACACAGCATATTAAAACATCATAAAAGAAAGTACCTTCGCGTAATCTTCCAGGCTTCATTCCAGCTCAAACCCTTCACATCAATCAATATCCTTATCAGCTGTGGTATGCAGAGCGTTGGGTGAGTATCATTCATATGCACTGCCACCTTTTTGGGAAACTTCTCCCACAACACAGGCTCTCCTGATCTCTTTTCAAATCGTGCAATAATGTCTTGTAAAGAAGCAGAGCATAGTGTATATTGCTGCTTTAATCGCAACATTTTCCCTTCCACTGATTCGTCCCCAGGGTACAATACGTAGCACATCTAATCAGCACAAGACATTGGTGTTGCCATCATTTAGTTTATGTACAACATACAGTAGTCTAACGAGTTAAGTTTGTTGATTGTCCTAATGCATTGACAACAAATTCAACATGGAAGCAAAATTCTGAATGATAAATAACCTTTTCAGCAGTCTTTATAGCTGCATATGCTTTGGGATGATCTCCGGCATTGAAAGCGCCTAAATCAAAATTTTCGTATGCAACTTTTGTGGACCACAGTCGAAGGTTTATGGTGGTTTTTGTTTTGTATCCGGGTATTGGAACATCATAGGCAACAGCGATCATATCTTCTCCTCCCACCCATTGTTTATTTCCATCTGGCCCTAAAATGACTTCACCAAGGATAGCTGATATCATTCCTTACAATCTCCCACGGATTGCCCATCTGATAATTTGATCAATAAATACATAAACATAAGATATCACATAATTTATGGCATTTGAATATGCTTACATAATACGTAATGCACAAAAATGATGAGATCATACCTCAAGCCAATTTTCAGCAACTTCCTCCTGGCCATCTTTAGTAATGAGTTGTTTAAACAAGCCATACTTGTATCGTAGTCCATATCCCCATGCAGGGTAATTGAGCGGTGCCAAGGAGTCCAGAAAGCAAGAAGCAAGCCGTCCTAGTCCCCCATTCCCAAGCGCAGCGTCTAGTTCCTGTTAATCACGAAATGTGCCAATTCAAATCTACTTAAATTTATGGTTTAGAAACTTCAGCTCTTAATTTTGACACAACTATGCCACATGCCACGGGAAGAAATGGACAAAACGACAACTTTTTTTTCTTTTCTTTTCTTTTTTTTTTTTTTTTTTTTTTTTTTTATTCATTGTATATGACACTTTTAGAGAATCAAATGAATTATCAACTATCTGACTGATAAGCCTCTACTTAGACAAGTCTATGTGAGGAAGGGTTGGGTAAGTGATTAGAGGATTGTTAGTGTATAGGTTCATAAGTGTATAGGCTTATGTGGCTGTTTTGTGGGGGAGTATGTGCTTACGTGTGTATTAGTATGTACTTACATGGTTACTGTGGGTGGGAGCACAGGGGATTGTGATTAGTGTTGTTTAGGGGCAGGAATAAATAGAGGGACTCGAGGAAGGGGAGAGCAGGAAATCATTGAGTCAATTTGGGAAAGTCTTGGCATTCCGCTAAGCAGGAAGAGGGTCTCTGGTTCAAAGAACCAAATCTGTAATTCTTGTGGTTAATTCAATAAAGATTCATTCTTTCTTCTTCTTGATTCAATTCTTGTGGAATAGTGGCTAGAGACTTACCATTGACCTGCCGAGCTACATCTTCTAGATTGTAGCCCAACTATTTCAAAGCCTCCGCATAAGCTCCTGAGAGCTCCAAATTACCAACCGCATTCAGCAATGCTCTACCCTGCAAGATAGTGGAAAAATAATACATACATAGCTTTATAGGTTTTTTAGCTTTTTTCTCCTTAACCTTTTTTTTTTTTTTTACCGAGTTGGCAAGTTACTCTCTAAATTTTTAATTTTGACAAATTATTCCTCAATTGAGTAAAATGTTGCAGAGTGTACCCATATTGATGGATGATGGTAATATTTAGAAGGAAAGACCTTTATATGCATAATATGACATGCTCCAAGTGTCAATCGATATTTCAGTCTTTTCTTTCAAACAAAGTCATATAACACGTACAGGGACGTTTTAATAAAATTTTAACAAGCGTCATATATTTGGTAACATTTCTCACTCTGTTACACTCATAAAATCCATAGGGTAATTAGCCAAAATTATTACTCTAGAAGATAATTTACCAACCATGAAAAGTTCATGGTACAAATTTGTCAAATCCTAACTTTATGAACCTATATACAAACCAAGACTCACAAAAAAAAAAAAAAAAGAGTATGAACCTGCAAATACTCCATTGAAATGTAATACGCCTGCTTGACATTGATCTTCTGATAGTAGTCAAACGTAGCATTCCAATTGATAATAAGCATATCGCGAACGCTTTCCGCGGTTGCATAGTACGCCTTTGGGAGCTCAAATTTCTCAGCGTGGTACTTTATGCTGGAAGCGATGGACGACGAGTCCGGCACAAAGTTTGCCAAAGTACCTGCATTTCTTCATCAGCTAATTGATTATCGCTTCGAATCGGCCATTACTATAAAATTCAACAGAATACTTATATTTGAAGAGACAAACAAACAAACAACCTTCTTGAGAGATAGGATCTTCGATTTCCTGCTTTTTGTCGCTGGCGACGTTCTTCACGCATAAATTCCTTCTTCTTCTCGGTCTTCGCGAAGTCCAAACAGAATTGACGAAGAAGAGCCTCCAATTTGAATTCCTCCGATTGAGATGTCGGAAGCCGGAGACGAAGCCGGACTTGGACGGCGTGGTCGTCGCTGAGAACGAGATCGTTGCCGCCATTGTTTCTCTCTCTAGTTCTCCCTCCCTCTCTCTCTCTATCTCTGAGTTTGCGAGAGAAGCGGAGGGCTCAGAGAGAAATGAGTGAGAGAGAGTGGAGAAGTGTTTTATCTTATGCACTGTACCCTTTGGTTAGGTTCGTTTTTCAGTTATTCGCGTCATGTTAAAAACGAGGGAAAATACAAAAGTCATTGTGGACTTGTCGTTTTCCTATTTCTTTGTCGTATTGGGCGGTGGGTCACCAGTTCATTTCTTTGTCGTTTTAAATTTGCTCTGTTTGAAGCCAGAGAACAATTTTTTTTTCCCCCTGCTGCTGCTAGAGAACAATCCTAATATGATTCCTTTCATTTTGGAACCAGATGTCAAGTTGCCCATTCATTGACAGATATTTTTGAAGGAAAAGTAATTTTTCTGATCGAAATTCGAAAGTCTCCTTTTCTTACTTGGAACTAATGAAAATGCTACTAAACTCGTGAGGTAACCGTGTCAAACTTCTTTTTTCCTTTTTAGCTATATTTGCAAATTTGCGGTGAACCTTTACGAAACTTGTGTGTGTGTGTGGTGTGTGTGTGTGTTGGGAGTAGGAAAAAGTACCTTTTGGAGTTGCAATAGGCAATTAATAATTTAACTTCGTAGATGACCATGAGAAAGATTGCCATGGGTGCGTCAATTTAAGCAAGGATTGTTTTTAAACCTTTCTATTTTTGCTGGAATAACAGTATTACTCGAACAAAATATGTACTCTTTTCCTGTTTTGCATCGAAACCATTCATTAGGTGATTTAATCAAAAGAAAGGGAAAAAAAAAAAAAAAAGTGAAAAACGTATACGACTTTTAGGGTCACTTTACCTAAGTGATAACAAATAATGACAGATGACAAAATGTCCCCAACTACAGCCGTCAAAATGGATCTGGCCCAAGGGATCATCTAGTCCTACTCTCTTGGGCCTAGTGCCCAGCCCAACCCATATAAAGACTCGGGCTCACAACCGGGCTGGCCTAGGTGTTCATGCTAGCTCAAATATTTTTGGGTAGAGAAAAGCAGGTACCCAATCCATTTCTAACCCTCAAATTTTAACTCATTGATTTCTATCCTTTTACAATTAAGATAATAAAAATAGTTAAATTAGACATTATTTAAATTCCAAAATTACCCTCAATGGTCCATTAATAAATTATAAGATATGTCGACAGTCTCCTATTGCTGACCGGTCATGACTTGACAAGTTATGATCCATAACCTGACAAAATATACCGGCCACCGGCGGGTCTCCGACCATAACTTGATAGGTTATGATCCATAACCATAACCTGAGAGATTACATCGGTCACCAGCGAGTCTCCAATCATAAGTTGACAGGTCATGCTCAATAACCTGACAGGTTATGATTCATAACCAGATAGGTTATGATCCATAAGATAACATATTACACCGACCACCGACGGGTTTCTAGCCGGCCACCGGCCATAACCTGACAGGTTATGATCCATAACTTAACATATTACACTGACCACCAACGGGTCTCCGGCCATAACCTGACAAGTTATGATTCATTACCTGACAGATAACACCAACCACCAGCGGGTCTCCAGCCATAACCTGACAAGTTATGATCCATAACCTGACAGATTACACCAACCACCGGCAGGTTTCCAGCCGGCCGCCGACCTTAACATGATAGGTTATGATCCATAACCTAACAAATTACACCGACCACTAGCGGGTCTCCCGTCATAACCTAACAGGTTATGATCCATAACCTGAACCATAACCTGACATGTTATGATCCATAACCTGACAGATAACACCGACCACCAGCGAGTCTCCACCCATAACCTGACAGGTTATAATCCATAACCTGACAGATTACACCGACCACCGACGGGTTTCCGACCGGCCACCGGCCATAACCTGACAGATTATGATCTATAACCTAACAGATTACACCGACCACCAACGGGTCTCTAGCTATAACCTAATAGGTTATGATTCATAACCTGATAGATTACACCGGACACCAGGTCTCCAAAATTGAATCAAGAACTTGCACTCTCCAAAATTGAACATATAATTGAATTTAGATCACAACCTTACACACAGACAAAACTGGTTAAAACATGAAACTAGAAAAAAAAAAATCCATTAAGTAAATGAAATTGAAATGTAAGCTGAAATACATGTAAGTGGCACAAAAAATAGACTAAGAATTGCCCATATCATAGAAACATGTAAACTAAACACAAAATTAACCACTACTTACAACATGACCATAGCTGAAAAGGATCGTGACAACAAGAAAATAAGGCAAACAAGCAAATATCACTTGACACGCTATCTTTTCCTCTTCCATTTTCTCAGCAACCAAACAAGCAATGAAAGCGTAAAATTAAACACAAATTTTGACAAATCATTTCTCTCGCTCAATTAAAGTGCCCACCAGGTATATATACATGTAATAAAACCAAGTTCTACGCAGAGAATAAATAAAATGGAAAAAAAAAAATCATTACCTAGACTGGGAGAGAGACGGTGACGGTGGCGCGGGGAACGGAAAAAAGATTTTTCGATTCACCGTCGGACAAAGTAGCAACCGTGACGGCGGCTCGGGGAACGGAATCAGAGGGACTGCACAGGCAACTGGACCTCCGGTGAGGATTGCGAGAAAGACTGGGAGAGAGAGAGCAGGAAAAAAATAGATTTTCTTTCCTTCATCACTCAAAATCAATTTCTCCGAAAGAAAAATAGATTTTCGAGCAAAAAAATATAAAAGAAATAAAAATCGAAAGAGATAGTTGAAATGAGAAGACACAAACCTTCAGTTTTAAAAAAAAAAAATCTCACTGCTCAAACCAGATATGGCGGATCTAGATGTCGTCACCGGAGCAGATAGAAAAGAGGCGCTTCCACGGCGGATCTGGTGGCTTGTTGGAGGATGCTCGTGGCAGACGAAGCTTCTACGTCGAGAGAAGAAAGGATGGCGAGATGGAGGTTGTCGGTGCGGATCTAATCAGATCCGCCGACGGAGACGGAGAAAAGGAGGACGACAACGGACCGAGAGAGTGTGGAATAGAGAGAGAGAGGGAGGGGATAAATCGGAGAAAGAAGGGCGGAGAAAGAGAGAGCGACGAGATGAGAGAGAAGGGGGCGAATAGAGAGAGACAAGGATTTTAGACACAGAATGCGAGAGTGAAAATGAAGATACGCTGGAGACAATAACCCCAATAAAATCAGGGATAAAATGATCATTTAAAAATGTTAAAAACAGTTTTTATTTTTTAAAACTCAAATGGATGGGGTAGACTTTATTAGACGGGTAGAAATTATAATCTAGGTGATTTAAAGGTAAATTACACAATTTTTTTTAAATAATCTTGATAAATACTCATTAAAAATGTATAAATTAATATTTTCTCTTTTGATTCATAATTATTTTAGTCAAATAACTACACTAATAAAATAATATTTATCAAGAGTAAGGAGTAAAAGTTTAAATTCATGCACTATTAAAGATAAATTTTCTATTTTTTCTAACTTTAAAAAAATGAGACAAAATATATGAGTTTAAATTTTTATCTCTTACTCTTAATTAATATTATTTTAAGTAATATAATCTTTAATTAAAAAAATATTAATTAAAAATAAATAATAAAAATTCAGATTCACATCCTCTAAGTGGAAGTTCAGCAATTTAATTAAAAAATATATATTTTTGTGTAGAACATAGGTTGACATTACTCTAATGAAACATGATGAGATAAATAAAGCACAAAATTATTCATGGCTCGTTTAATTCGTTAATTTAAGTTAAAATGTATTTTTATATAAAAATTTTTTACTGTAATAAAAATATTAGATGTGACTATTTTTAAAAAAATTTTATTATAATAAAACTCGGTGAAAAGAACAGAGGCTCAAATTCAAACATGCAATTGACTGGTCACGTGCGCGTAGGCATTGTAGCTGAGGTGGACCAAACATGTTAGAGTTGCCCAGATCTTGGGCAGATCCAGCCAGCTCGAGATCTTTATTATTCTTTACCATTAATTTCATTGTACGTGAAGGCTTTGGTTATTATTGTCTTCTTGACTTTCATAACCATTGGAGGTTTTTTAGGAGCTTACATTCAAAGTCACTTTTCTATTCTAGATCATGTTTTGTCATATGATTCAGTGGCGGACGAAGTCACAATACTATTCTAGATCATGTTTTGGTTTTGATTCAGCGGCGGACGAGTTTTTGTTGTTGCTTGTATTTGAGGTCTTTTTTAACGTCAGTAATCCAGTGGGTGACTCCAGACATCCAATGAGTGACTATGCCTATCAAAAATTGATAGGGCTAAGCGGAGCGAAAAAGGTTTTCCATGAGATGGGAAATGAAAACTATTAGCCCCACAGGAGGTTTGTGAATAAGTGATTGTCTGATAATGAGCAAGGAATATCCGTCTTTCTGCTAAACAGGATGTATTGAACTCATAATTCATATGATACTTTTTATGAATGTCAACTAAGTATCGTAAGTCAATTGCTCCCGGTTGTTCAATCATTTGATAACCA